TTCTCTATACCCATCATTATGGCGTTTCCTTCCAGCACACGCGGGGGCAGAGGGCTCTACCCCGACTGAGAGAGACAGCAGGGGCATCTCTCAGTACTAATCTCGGCATCTGAGGTGTGTGTGTTTGGATGGGCCAGACCCACTGCTCACTTACCCACCTGCCCCACGGACAGTGGTCTGCCGGGGTAGCGTTGGCGAGGACACCAACCACAGTGAATGTTAGCACCCCATTGAGATGAACTGTAGTTACACTTCTGTGAGCAGGCTCTCTCCAAGCTCAGGCAGAGGCCACGTTGTTAGCTACACTCAGACCATGTCTGCAAGCTTCCTTTCTCAATGGTGAGATCTGGGGACATATTATTACAATAAAAGTTTAAATTCAGCTACAGTCACAGGATCTGGGGCATAAGATACTGATCTATTTTACTTCTCTCTGGCAGTGATGTGCCACTGCCTCAGTCTCAGAGTTTTATTTATAATACTTTAGATATTGCAATAATACAAATAATAAGCATAACATTTCATTCTTGACCTCCCAAGTTGTCCTATTCACACCCCACCAACCTATGCATCTCTGAGAAAAGAAAGAAGTGTTTTCCATTGATTAGGACATTACACTAAGGCTTGAAAGACCTGGTTTGACGTATTTGTTCTGTCTCAGCCTTCCTACATGAACTTGATTAAATAGCCTGAACAATGACAACAGTACTGCCCTTCTCATAGGGGTACTGGGAGGCTACATCCATTAAAAGACTGAGAGTCACTTATTTCCTACAGTAATGAGCCATCTAGGTATATAAGCTGGACAGAAAAAGCAGCAAGGAGGCAGAAGTAGTTTTTCATTTTTAATGTTTTTTATTTATTTATTTGTAAATAGCTTTCCATGAAAAAAGGTTAAATTGCACACTTATCTTTGCAGTTCTTCAGCATCAGTATGGAATAGGCCTCAACACAGGAAAAAATGAAACTAAAAAGAAGCATTATAAAAAAAACCCCCAATAACACCTAAGCCCAGTCTGAACCTTGGTAGCCTTGGAATGGAGATGAGATTGATGTGGTTATGTCTCTTGGTTCAGAAATGCTCCCAGCTCTTGAAGCGGGGCAACTAGTGGGCTGGGGTGAAGATTTACCTTTTTTTTTTGTTTTTGCAGAGGCATTTTGGAGGTTGTTCATCGAGTCATAGATATAGCTCTAATTTTCCCCTGGTCCATACTACAGTCCCAGTGTCTTGCACCTGCTGACCCACCACCAGACCTCAGGGGGCAATGGCTGAACAGTTGATCTTAATAGTCCCACCCCGCACCAGCAGCCACCTGTACGGTGATCCGGGACCAGTGCTCCCAGCTACTGGAAATCTACATAGCTCCAGTGAGGTCAGCGGAGAGAAGCAGAATTGCCCCAGCTGAGAACCTAGCCCAAAATACCTGGAAACCCAAATGCAAAGCATTGCATTTCTGACCTCTGTGATCTTGAATGCAAGTGAATGCATCAGTTAATACAAGGATTTTCTTTTAGGTTTGTTAAGCTACAACTAAACTCCAGCTGAATTAGACTGCTCCCATTAAGGTTCCTAAGTTCTTATTTTCTTACAAAAAAAAATGTTTAGGGTTTTTCTTTCTTCAGTAAGTTTAACATACTCCAAAGAAATTACATATTGTGCTAACTAGGAGCTATTTTAACTATATCACCTACAACAACAGAGAGACTTAGAATCTGATTCTCTATAGCTTGAATTCAAGTTTTAGCAAGGTTTTTGTTTGTTTGTTTGTTTGTTTTTTATACTACCAAAATATTTCTAGGCTGCCTATGCATACTTCACAGTTACCCTTCCACACTCCCAGTACACAACAAAACCTGGGCCAGCTCTCCAGTGTCAATCAGCATAACTCCACTGGGACTTGGTCAGCTTATACTAGCTGCGGAGCTGGCTCAGATTGCTGAAAGTCTTCAGAAATAATTATGTCAGGTTGCTTCTCTTTGTCCTGGCTTCCGGGTAGTCAACAAACCACCATCTTTTCTAACTGCTTTAGAGATGACCATAGCAAGCCGGCGTCCCCTTCACACATTTCCGAGGACAGGGGGACAGGTTTTGCTCTTGGCCTAAGGCAAGACAGTTAATGTATCCCTGTCTTGCCATCCCCATCTGTAAAGTGGGAATGATAATACTTACTTCACAGGGGTGCTGTGAGTTTTAACTGATTAACCGTTGCACAGCGCGTTGAGGGTAGTAAGTGCTGAGAAGTCTTGTTGTCTCAGGAGAGAAGCAGAGTAGAAGGTAAGTATGTTAGAGGAGGCAGAAGAGGGGGCTTTAGCCTCCACTTTCATCCCCACCGTCTGTTGCATGCACAGTCTTTGGCCTATGACTCGTTGACTGAGCCTGGATCCAGATTTTATTCCATTTTATTTTTTTGTTAGTCCAATACAAGAGCATTAGTTTAAATAAAAAACAAAACAGTTGGTCCTCATCACCCCGGCTGGGAAACCCAAACACAACAATGCAATGAAACAAAGAAACGTTTTCCCATGGTCCTGGCAGCTCCCTCACCAACGCTGAGAAAAGCCTGGTTCTTCATATGCCTCCTGGATGACCCTAAAGACTGCTCAGAGCCTGACACATGAGCAGACAAGAGAGTGTTGTTTTGACAGCGGTTCAAAACCATAGAAGGTTCACAGTGATACAATCCTAGACCTTATGGCAAACATGGCCACGCACGATTTGCAGCAAGGAGTTCAGGATATAAAAAGCTAAAAAACTAAGAGCGAGCACAATCTGGAGAAATTAAGATCCCCTTTGTTCCTCCCCGGACTTGATGATTTTCTTGATCCTTAAAGAAATCCATTGCTTCCGATGTAGGAATTTTCCCTTGCATATTTTGTTACCACAAACACTTGACACACTTCATATTTAATTTGCAGAACAATTAACATGTCTCTATATAGTAAAAACAGGACCCCATTTCCATTGCCATCCCGCCAACAAGATACTCTACTGATTGTGCATTGGTGCTAAAAATATAGGTCTCTTTGAATATAGATATATATATAATAAGACTATATAAAAAAATCTGAAGAGGCAGACTTGCTGGATTGCATCTGATTTTTCAGAACTCGTCTTCTTCCCTAGCCCCAATTAAGGAGGGAGGCTGCACTCATACAAGCCAGAAGGGACCTTTATTTGCCTGTTATCTAATTATCTCATGTTATACCTGGGAATTTCCCTGGATAGAAAATAAAGAGAGAGAAAAAGACAAATGGAGAGAAGAAAGACGAGAAAATTGCACATGGTCTATAATGTCCTAAACCACCAGGAAATCTCATCTGTCAAATCTAACTTAGCAGGTGTTCTCTTCTAACCAAAAAAAGGGAACACATACCCCTTCCGTTCCCATGAAAAATAGGATAATCCATTTTTCTTTTAAAAACACAAGTACAAAAATAAGTACAGTTATTCTTTTCTCTTGGGGAAACCCAAGGGCCAGAAACTTCTCCCAAAGGGTTGCTTAAAGATATATCCAGCCAAGATGTTCTGTCTTTTTAATCTGGAGTTTTGTGAGTACCCATATTTTGCACGCGATAAAGTCACCATATATGTTTCCGTTTCTGGAAATTTCATCTCTTGTAAGTTCGAACAGTGCTGGGATCTTCCTGCTAAAAGATAAAGTCTGCCTGGGTTCAAGTTGGTTCTTCCAACTGGGAGCTGCCTCTTATAAAAACGATCCCACACTGCTCCAGTCATTCATGTCTGTTGGCAAAGAAGAATCACTGAGTTCAAACAACTGGTCCATGTTGACTGAGTTTGAGAGGTAATCATTTCTCCCTTCATCCCAGGGATGCTGAAGGAAAGATGTAGCCATGAAAGTTTCATCAAAGTCCAAGTTGTTCTGGTTGGCTTCTGTAAGGACCTGATCCTGCCCAACTGGGCACCATTCCTGAGGGCAGTCAATGTGTCTTCCATGTACTGTCAAGTCCACATCTCTGGTTATTGGACTAATAGGAGGTGTGAGCTCCAGGTCCTCAAAAGTAGAGAAGTCGCCATTCAAGGTAGTGTCAAAGATGGCTTCCCAGTCAAAGTCACCTTTCAGTGATCCTAGCTCAGTTTGTTCTTCCTGGGTGAGTAGAGGGGAGCTAGAGAGACGAGCTGTTTTGTGTGTCCGTTTGGGCAATGGCTGTTTCCGCTTGTGGCCCATTTTTCCATCTGCTGGATTCCAGTTCTGGTCGCTGGTGACTTCCTCAAACTCTTTGAGCAGCTGCTGAGACTCCATGTTGACGTTCAGGACGCCGTTGTTGGTCCAAGAGGATGCTGCCTGATTAGGAGCCGAGCCAGCGTCTTGCTGGACTCTGTTGGTGAAGGCTGGGTGGATCTGCACAGGAGGCATCCTGCGTTTTTTGAAGGCCCCATTCATGAGCCTGTCAGCATACTGAGGGTCAATTTTCCAGAACCCACCTTTCCCTGGCTCATCCTTCTCACGGGGCACCTTGATGAAGCACTTGTTCAAGGACAGGTTGTGCCGGATGGAATTCTAAGCCAAAAAGGAAAACAGCAAAGTTGAATACATGCAACTTCATACACAGTCCACCTATTTTTTTAATTAGGAGTTTTGTGAAGACTCATACTTTGCAGTTGATAAAACATAACATAAACCATGCAAAAGGGCAAATGAGCCCATCCTCACCAGGTCCCCGGATAAAGAGGCAGAGATTGCAACAGTAAGACAAACCATTCTAGGCTGACTGCTGAATGGTGCCACACAGTAGATCCTCCTCGTTTTGTGGCCCCCAGAGAGATGATGGAACGGAGCTCCATCACCTTCGTTCTACATCACCTTGAGCAACAGGGGCCAAAGGGCCTGGGACCAAAGTCTACTGAAGACACTGGAAGACTTCCTGTTTGCTGTTTGGATTAGGCTCACAGAGCAATGAGACTGGGGAACAAGTGAGTGGTCAACAATATTCCCAGCTAGCTCTAGGAATGAGTGATAAAAGTGTTAGCATCAGTTGGAAATCACTTGGCCAAAATAGGTTTATATAGACTCCCTGCTACCTCTGATTTCACCACGGTGCCTAGAGATTGAACTGGCACATACAATCCCTTACTCAGCAATGACCTCTCTGGACAAGCCTATGGGATGCTTATTCCCCACTCTGAGCAGACTATACAAATAGCTGCTCTGGGCTGGAGTGCAGCATAGTGGGACAACCACTTGCACTGCATTTGCACACCCGTTTGTTGGGCCCATGGCTAAATTTCTCCCATAGATCCCAACGCTTGGGAAAGCTTGGTATGAAATCAGTCTGTATCTTCATGAACACAAATCAAACTAGCTGGGAAAAAAAGGGGGCGGGGGAGAAAAGAAAAGGGGGGAAAAAAGAGGAGTTTCTGCTCCCGTTGAGCTGTTCTGAAAAACATGAATGTGTCTAGAGTGATATGCATAATCAGAAAGGAAACTCAGTTATTGGGTAAATAACGCTGTGTTACATTGCACAATGCCTAGAGTGTGTTAAGAGATTGGATATGGTGAAGGGTTTTTTTTTTTCAATGTTGCCTGGATATCTTTATGCTTATTCATCCATAATCCGTATTGCCGAATAGCAAAAACAAGGCTTGAATGCCTGGAGTGCTAAATAAAAAAAACACAACAAAAACCTTCCTCTGGGCTGAAACTCCTCGGGCATGCTGGCTCTCCTCCAAAACACGCAGCTCTCCCAGGAATCTATCCATCTCCCCCCTGTGTATGGGTGGCATGACCTTTTGAGTCTGCCTCCACTTACAGGAATTGGGGTGGGGGGGATGAGAATACAGTCATGATGGGAGAAAAGGAAAGAAAGGCAAGGGGAAAAAAAACCCAACCCAACAATTCCTCCAAAAGCTCCAGACTCTGGTGATTCAGGATTTACTGTTTAATGAAATTTTACAAGGGTCAGAGAATTCCACGCCGAATTCTCTACCCCTACCCCGAAATTTCATTCAGCCTGGCTGGTCGACAGTTGATTATTACCCAGCCAGTTAGCATATTTATCATTCCTCCCTGCAAAAAAAAGAGAAAAAAAAAAAATCAATCAAACCACCTGTGTCTATGCAGAGAGGGATTGAGAACTTTTGGGTTTTTAATAAGCTCATTTAATTAAAAATGCAGCAATTCTCCAGATAGGAGACTGCAGGAGAAGGCAAAGCATCAGCACTTAGCTCCTATCCGACTGCTCCGGTGAACTCACCAGCGCACCAGAATGCTGACTTCCTTACAAGTGCTGGGGGATATAAACTGAAAAAGAGCCTCATCTGGGTTGCTCCTCTGTCTAGGGGAGCGTTCCTTAACCGCCCATGTCTGCAGCCTTTGTGACTTGTACCTCTCACCATTGGTGAAGCTGGGCTGGGTCAATGGAGCTGCTCCCAGTTTACACAGCAAGTAGGAAGAGAACCAGGTGTTGCTGGGCCCCTCCAGGTTCAACCTCCGGTGCGGACTGGGGAGCACTCGCAGCTGCACGGTTGAGGGTTGGAGCAGTTGAGGGTGAATCAAGTTGAAGGGGAAGCCCTGGGCACTTGCTGAGCTAGTCATGGTGCAGAGCTAGAAACCACCACCCTAGCTAACCTCCATCTCAATGGTTCCACTGATTTGTTTAAATCTCGAAGGGCTCTGACTCAGGTCTCGAGCAGGGTGGACTTGGTTTCTTTTCTTTGGGCCCTTACAGGGATGGCCAACATGCAGGATTAGCTGGAGCCCTAATGGGATAAGAGTAATATGGAACCTGGGTAACTTGACTTTGCAGCCTGTGGCCAGTCACCACCACTGTAGCAAGAACAGACCTGATTTACCTCTGTGCCGATGCAGAGTCCAGCATAGGCTTCATAGCCAACTTGAACCCCTCCTGTGCCAGGGCGGTCAGGTCAACTGAGCCCCCAATGGCAAGGCCAGCTCTCAACCAGCATTCTGCTTTTGCTACGATGCCCTACGGACATTACGTCAGCCTGGGAATACCATGATGGAGGAACTCCCTGACCCCACCTCCTCCCACCCGTGGTATATCCCCAGCATGCCTCCTGTGCCAGGGGTTCCTGTGTGTGCACACAGGGCACCGAGCCAGGCAGGCAGGGAAAGCCCCTGTCCTCTGGCATTCCTTAGGGGGCATGAAACTCTTAGGTAGCCACCACTGAATGGGAGCTCCATGACACAGCTCCCTAACCCATCAGCTGTGGGCACAGCTGCAAGCTAGGGGCACAGCTGGGTCTTCAGAGCAGTGCAAGGTGTTATTTATCATCAGCATCATCTCCAACAACCCTGTAGCTTAAGGGAAATCGTTCGTCTTTAGACAAGAGGCACAGGAAGTCTTCGATGAGTCGGGGGATACAGGTGACATGGGCAGTGTTTTGGGGCCTCCCTCTGAGCAATGAAGTCTCTCCCCACCCTTGTTCCACAAGCACCTGAAGTGTGTGAGCATTTGTCCCAAAATAGACACCATTTCTCATTGTGGTATATTTTGGGAAAGAACGGAGTTTATGGATCTACATGTTTCTGCTCAAGGATTTTCTAAATGAAGGTGTCTCCCCTTCCTCCAAATCTTTTCCCCTGTGGCTTATGAAACTGCTGACTCAGAGAGCTGACGGATTCACTAATCCACCAGGGAACTGCAGAAATAAATCCTCAACCTTAGGACCGACAGCTCCTGCATCTGAAGAGAGCACGGAGGTGGTGCTCAGGGATGGAGATGCCTCCCCAGGAGAGCTGCATCAAGCTGCAAAGAGGAGTTTCAACCACTTGCGGCAGAATCTGTACCGTTCACAACCATCATCAAAATGGTAGTGGCTTATGCCAGGTACCAGGATAATGGCTGTCTCACTGCAGCCAGCAGCTCTTGTAGTCAAAGCCATTTTTCAAGGCGTTGTTCAGTTTACAAGCTCCAGACTAGGGAAGTCTCGGCTGTGTCCTTGATCCTGACTGTTCTAGAAGTTCAACACATCAGATAGTTTCCCTGCCCGTGTTTCTTCAAGTCGCTTTCTTCTTTCATACTGTTTGTTTTGGTCTCCTCTCACCTTCTCTTCCCCCCCCTTTTTTCTTCTTACTATCCTCCCATCCTGTCTTTTTCCCCCGTCTCTTTTCCTACCCTTTCCCCCCTTATTATTCCCTCTTCTTTCACATTTTTTTTCTACCCCTATTTTCGCTCCTCCCTTCATTGCTCTCTGAACCAAATTCTCTTCTCCACTGTACTGCCGCAACACACTATAGGTCAATACAGATGCTCCAGAGAAACGGAGAACAGAATGCATCCTTCTGTCTCTCAATCTCAGCCTCTTTCCAGCAATGGAGATGCCCTGGACAATCACTAACTTTACAAGGGCAAATTCCTGTTTACCCTGGGCTACATTCTCATTTACTGAAGCTCCTGTATGCTACTGAATGTTCACTCCAGGCAAACCTCAGTACAAAGCATAGCAAGTGTCATTAATTGCACCCTGGAGAGACAGAGAAAAAGAGAGAGAGAAACACTGCCATGACCAGGAACATTAGAAGATCTAGCAATGCTAATCGGCCAGTAGAAAGTTCATTATTTCTTCCAAACTGCGTAGGATTTCCTGTTACCTCTTTAAATACAGCTAGGCCAACTGCTAGACACACCTTGTTGGTGCATGGTGTGTGTTTCTCCTCCTGTATCTCTCCAGACCAACTTGGAGTTGGACCACCAACAGCTCTACAGAAATGCCTGCCTTCATCTGTTTGAACAGGTGCCCATCACTGTATTATCTCCAGCCCCAACCCAGTCTTCTTCCATGAAATAGAGACAGAGGGATGGAGGTCACCTTTGGTCACCTACCTGCCAGGTGGGGTCAGCATGTCTGAAGTAGCAGAAGTTATCTGTAATCCATTTGTAGATGGCCGAGAGGGTGATTTTGCTTTTCTTGCTGGCTTCCATGGCCATGCAGATGAGTGTGGCATAGGAATAAGGTGGCTTTACGTGAGGGTTGGTCTTATAGTCGATGTCTTCCATGGGCTGGGCCTGCATGCCCACTCCAAGATGAGCAGTTCGGGACGTGGAAGAAGAAATGGGCTTGCCAGGGGTATGGGGCATCCCCATGCAAGCTGGGTCAGCAGCCAAGGGTGAACATGGAGCAGCTGAGCCAGGGATCTTGTGGTAGTCATGAGGGTCCGAGCTGCTGGGAGAGGAGGAAGACTTGCCCACGTTGGCATTGATGATGGAGAACTCTTGCAGCCACTGAAGACTAGTGAGGCTGTCGTCCAAATTGCCAGAGTCCCCCATGCTGCTTTCCTGTCCTCTTTCTTCCTCTGCCTGTAGGGTCAACCAGCTATCAGCCATGTCTGAGGAGGCTAGAATAGGCAGATCCAACATTTAGGAGCTGATGGGTGAAAGGGGCAAGGGAAGGGAGCTGGGGAAAAGAGCGATCCTGCAATAACAACATGAAGAGATTCAAGATCCTTGGCAAAAAGGCAGCTCATGAGCACTTCAGCAGGTTTTCAGCCTGAGGCTCACAAAGTGGAGGCTACATCTATCCCTAGTGCACCTCTGCCAACCTCACAGAGCTCCACTCGGGGTGGGGGACACAAGTTGCTTCTCCATCCAGCCTCTTCCACAAAGCTGTTTGCTTTCAATCAGAGTTAAAACCTGATGGGATTCCCTGAAACACCTGTGCCATTGACAGCAAGGCTTCGCCTGACTTGCAAAGAAAGCTCCCCAGTAGCTTTGAAGTTAGGGACATGGCACTATTACTAGCGCAGAGGCGTTCAACCAAAGCAGACATCTATATCCTCCTAGGCAGTAATCCTGTCCTTGCTCCATCAATAGCCAACATTCCTCACGCTGCCGTGAATATTTCTTAGGCTGCTAACTTTCATGCCCCGTGTTTATTTCTCTTCATGCAGGGTACTGCCATTTTAGCAAACAACAGGTGTACGTGGTATAACATACAGCATGTGTGTGCATATATAATCTATATTTACAGCAATCTAGGTTTAGATGCCCTCTGTCTATTAATTTAAGCAGGAGAGGTGCCTAAGTCCCTTAGCCTGCTACAGAAAGCATAACTTTCTCTATCTTTTAAAGAGGCAAACCATCAGGATTAGCACATAAACTGTCATTTCAGGCCCCAAAAAGGTATTTTCTGTGATAAGCCAACAGCTGAAGGGCACGGCAAATTTTTTTGAGACGCGTCATTTGACTCTCGCCGACGCTAAGTAGCCGAGATAAAATGTTGGGGGCGCTCCGTGAAAATGTTCAGAGTCCAGCAACCCCCGGCAGGATTTCTAACGGAGACACCCTCTGTTGTAATGAAGAAAAACGGACAAAAAATAAAGGGAAGGGTCACCGTACTAACCCGTTTAAACTCCAGACTATTATTAGTCAGTGGGGGGCGGGGGGGAGGCAGGGAAGACCCTATATAAATACACCTGCAATGAAAAACCAAACCAAACCAACTTGGGCAGAGTTATACATTAACTCCCGAATCAATTTTCCCACTAATGGCCTTGACTCCAGTCGCGGGCGCTGCAGTATCGGCGGCTGGAGAAGTCGTCGGGTAGACCTGGCGTCAGAAATACAGTGCAAGGCATTTCCCACGCAAAGGGACCACCTCGCCCAACGGTTCGGGGGTCCTTACCTGAGGCTACGCAAAGTCCCACCGCGTCCAAAGTTCCCAACTAAGCAGGAATGTTCTGGAAAGGGGGGAAAAAAGGGGGGGGGGGGGGAATTTCTACTTTTCCCCCTGGGATAAATTATGACCCAAAGCCCTGCCAGAGCTCCTTTATTCCAGAGCTGCAGTGATTTGTAAGCGGCAGAATGACTGTCATTAAGTAGCTGCTCCAAAAGGCTTCGCTGGCTGCTATGGAAACGCTCCGCCCCTGTAAACAGCTTCCATCCCTCCCATTGGTCCAGAGATCTCCATGGAGAGCTCAGTCACTCGCCAGTTTGCTCTGTAGTTCTGCCACTTTTGCGCTCTCCCCCCACCCCTCCCGCCTTGCAAAGGCATTTCTCTTCCCCAGCCCCAGCGACTCGGATCCGGACGGCGAGACAGGCCCGTGGTCCCGCCGAACCCGGGGTGGGTTCGTTTCCCCAGGGGCGGTCGGTGGTGCGTGGGGGAGCTCATCCCCTGACCCGCGTGTGGGGGTAGCCCGGAGCGGGCACTGGGAACGGCTGCTCTGAGTTTCATGAAGACAGATGAAAGTCCATTTGAAACCGCTCTCAGCCGCCCATTATTCATGTGGACACGAAACAAGCTGCTGCCAAAAAAAACCAACTCGGCCACCAGAGCGATCCGTGCCTTGAAAAGAAGGGAATGATTTAAAACCGCTCCTCTGCCCCTCGGGACCAGCCCGTGCCTCCGTCTCCTCTACCGGCTCAGCTTGCCATTTAGCAGCCCCTCGGCCCTGCCCACGCAGCCGGGCTCCTATTCAGCGGCCTCCCCGGCGTCCAGGCCGTGTGTGGGGAGAGGATGATGAAGAGGCGGCGGCGGCATTCATGTGTAAAGGTCTGTGCCCTCCTCGAGGCTTTGCTATGAGGAGGATTAAGAGCGCGCTGTCCGCGCGGCTGAGCATTTGGAAGCCAAAATCATCCCCCTTGCAAGCGGCGGAGTTGCTACCAGGCCGGGAACGGGCCCCTTTGTTCCTACCTGGTTCAGCTCTGTGAGGCCGCGTTCGCCTGACCTCTGCGTAACCTAAAGTAATTAGATCAAAGGGAGAGCTGAAGGGGGGCGAGGGGCCCAGCAGACCCCCTCAATCAAAGACCCTGCTGGGTCCTTCCTATATTTAATTAAGATGGTTACAGTCACATTCCCTTATAATGAGTCCCTGCCCCCCACCAGTCAGTTATTCTAAGAGTCCGTAATGAAAAATCACCCCCCGCCCCCTCCGTGAAGAGAAAAGCCCCTTGCCCTTTGTACAGCCAGCCGGGTCAGGGCCAGGCATCTCCCTGGAAGGGGAAAGCACCCTCCGCACCCTGCATCACCTCGGACCTGCTGGAGGACGGGGGAGGATTTTAGTATGCAAGGGCTGCTAGCTGAGACTCTCAGTGCTGCCTGTGTCTGAGCCTGGCCTCCAATGGGACCGCACCGACATGACCACACACTTCTGGCATCCCAAATCCCTGTTAATCAGTCATCCCAGCCACTGAAATGGGGCCACACTATGATAGGACTGAAAGGAATAAACAAAACTCCCCACTTCTCCCTCCTCCCAGTAAAGGACGGGAAGGGGAGGGAGGCTGAGAACAGCCAAGACTGCTGAGTGCCTCAAGGAAACTCCATCAGTGGCTGCCGTGCACGGTCAGAGCCAGTGCAGGCCACGATGATCTTGGCTGGATCCACCTTGATGTATGATAAGTGACCCGGCCACTCTCTGATCTCTTCCTGAAACGAGAGATCCATTCTCCCAACCCCATACACACGATGTTGGTACTGCAACATCCGTACAAAAGCACCTCCCAAAGCTTCGAGGCTGGTCACACGCCACCGAGTCACAGCAGGGATGGATCGGGCTCAGCACAAACAGGACAGCCGTCATTTTGGCTGACACCGGGAAGACTGTGGATGGGGTCTCTCCAGAGCTGGAAGTGAGAGATATCACTTAGCAGGAGCTCCAGTTGATTGACATCATCTATGGGGAGGCACCAGTAATGCATTCTGCTCCATGGATAGCACACAAAAATGGTGACAATGGTGTCTGCATACTATGCAATGGTGCATGGGGACATGGCAGCTGTTGTCCTACTCAGAAAGATAAGGCAGTAAATAAATGTCCTTTCATTCCTCATGTTTCCAACAAAAAGAACCAGGTGGGACAACAATGCCAGTGCCCTAGGCCACTAAAGCAACACAGCTTTGAAAAGAGGGCCTACAGCTCCCTGGACAGCCTGGAAGATGAAGCTAGGAGTTGAGGAGTATTCACGAAAGGGCATCTTGGAAAGTCCCAGGACAGCCCTTCTCAGCTCTTGACCAGGACTCTGAAGCAACAAAAGAGGAGGCTGTTCTCTACCACTGCTAATTTGCCCTGCTAAGTTTGGCCCACAGAGCTGGAGCATTCACACTCAAAGCTCCTCTGGCAAGGAGTTAAACCATCTCTACTGAGCAGAATAAGACATCCAGTAGATTCTCCTGCAGCTTCTCTCTCTCCTAAAGGCTCCCCTCCTTAATCCCAATACTGTAGAAGGTGGTTTTCCTTCAAGGACCCAGAGGATTTTCTGAAGGCTTCATTACAGCAACAGCATCAGGCGACAATCAGGGAATTAATGTGTTTTCTAACTTCCACCCACCCCTGCCAGTTCATGCAATAATGGGAAGGATACATTGGCCTCCTTAGAGAAGATACCACTTTCCTCCAGGCTCCCTTGTTATCCCAGCACAAGTCTCCCTTGGTGATATTCGGAGCTAACCTGTCCTACCCTGCTATGAAGAACTGTGTAGTTGGAAACAGCTTGGAGTGGTGTTGATTATGGGTCTGGGGGAAACTGCAGTCTTGTTTGCCGTCGATACCCAGGAAGTCATTACAGGTGGGATCCTGTCAGCCTCTACCAGCCCAGTCCCTTCAGAGAGAAAGTTCCCACTCAAGCAACAGGAACTTACCTGAGTACATCAAAGGCCGAGCGTCCTCCTCAGGACTGGGTTCTACATGCAGCTTTCCAGACTCTGAGATTAGTCATGCCAGTCATACAAAGAAAGAGTCGATGATGGCAGATCAGGTAAATCAGTGCTTTCCATATTTAATAACTACTTGTGAACATAAAATACCCAGCTTTAAAGAGAAACACATACAACTTTATGCCACTCTAAATAGCTCCCTCCTTCTCCAGAGTTACTGCATCAAAGCAATAGGTGAAGGCACCAGGTTGGGAATCATGAGATCTGGACTCTGACCCGCCAGAGGTTTCCTGGCACAAGCCTTGAACAAGTCACTTAATCTCTTTGCGCCTCAGTCTTCCCAGCTGGGGGGACAATAGTACCGACCTACTTCACAGGGTTATCAGGGCAAGTATTCATTAACATGATTATTTACTATTTCTATCATGGTAGCACCTCAGAGCCCTTGGCCTGAGCTAGGGCACCGCTGTGCTAAGTCATTGGACACATACAGAATAAGAGCAGTCTCTGCCCCCAAAGAGCTTACAATCTAAATAATATCCATCAGTGCCTGTAAAGTGCTTTGAAAACCATGGAAGGAAGGTGCAACAGACATGCAAACTATAATTCAATATTAATCATCATCATCATCAGACTAATTATTAATCGCTATAAGTATGAAGCTCACTCA